CAGTGGCAGTAAATATCGTGACTATCGAGACGATGAAACGCTTTTTTTTTTATTTTCTTTCTGGCCCCAACTGAACGGATACTCGCGCCTCCACCCCGTGTTCTCTCCCTTTCAACGCGGTTCACTTTTATCGACTGGCCATTTTGCAAATAACACGTTCCACGGCTGACTATTGGCGGAGTTATAATGTCTAAGTAACCGCCGGAAATCACGGAAGCTTTATTGAACCCGTTGGACTATCTGTGCCGTGGATTAGGACGGGTCAAAGGGAAGGTTTTAATTTCCTTTCCTCCGTCCTTTTCCACTGTGATCCAGTTAAGTCCTCTTCCATTCGCTCGAGGCTGTTCGTTCCTTTTTAAAATTCTCTACGTTTATAGGCGAACTGAAGCTCTGATGATAAAATGATTTCAAAGCTGTATACATGATTTCTGTTATATATTTGGAATATTTTTGTTTTTAATTAACATATCAATTATGCAATCACAGTCAGGTGTACATGTACCTACTGTATTTTTCTGTCATTTTCATTCGTAGAATAATCACCACTGGAGATGCAATTTATAAAATAACGTTTGAACCAGTAAAACACATGCATAAAAATAAATGAACCAGAATTTACATTTTATCATTTCAATAAAATTTTCTCAATAATTGTTATTTAAAAAAAAAAACACAATGGAACCAATAAGCGAATCAATGGATTATTGAAAATTCTTTTACATTGGCTTAATTAACACACGATATCAAAAGGAGGATCTGCATCAGTATCTATTTTTAATAAGCAATAACGCTTTAAAAGGAACAAGCCTCTAAATTATAGCATCACCGGGTTAATTTGCAACTTGGACAGTGAGATCGATACATGAAGCATGACGAGCATGGTTTTCGTAGTTTCCCGATATTGCCACACACAGACTTATGAACGTAATTGCGCGACCCATCTTCGCATGCAAGACGGTTCTAACACATTCTCAAAGTATCGAATCCCTTGGCGACACTGTCAAACAACATAACTTCGGTCACTCGTTTGGACACTGTTCTTGCCTACACTAAAGGAAATTGACGTGGACGTATTATGACCTAATTGGAAGCATTAATTGCCAGTCACGTTCAAACTTTGCCTCTGTCTCTGCTAATACTTTAACGACCCCGAGCTACGTAGAATTTGATGCGTCTTGTTATACCTAAACAACGTCTAATGTCGGAATTATATTTAGGAGGTTCCATTAAAATAATTAATTAGACTATACAGAAATAGCCGATCCAAATGTATTAACGGAGTATCGCACAACGTCAGGGTTCAACGTCTTTACAGACAGTTGATTCTTCATCGCGAAACGTTTTACTGGCTGACTTTTAACATCTCACGATACACTCGTTGCGCCCGTATAACTCAAGCTTGAACCGAAATTTACGCCAGTGTGGTAGCTTTATTTATCGAGCGTTTGAAGCCGAGCGCAGAAGTACAGCGTCGACCAGCGAGAGGGTTTATGACTTCTTCTCGGCTGCACCAGCCTTTTGGATTGCCAAGAAAACGTACACCCCTGCTGCCGGTAGTTCCGTGTTGCAGCACGTGCGATCATCGTAAATGCACGCGGTTACAAGCGTTTTGAGGCATGCATACCGAATCGAATCGCGCTGCGACGCATTGACACGTATTTGATATACGTGTTCGCCGATGCTGATCCATCTATAAATTTTCACAATACTTCCCGACCTCGAATCTCACAGATTTTCGTGCAAAAATTTCTCTCCGTTCCGACTTGTATACATTCAAAGAATATACAATACGTGTCAAAAATAAAATTCTATTTAACGACATTGCAATTATTTTTCATAAACCTGAAATGATAAATCTACTTTTCGCTATACGAAACGACGAAAGAGAATGAAATGAAATGCAGCGAAAATTCGTAAAATAGGGGTGGCAATTAATTTCATAAAGTATCGAAAACGGAATTTCCTGGTCTGACCGCGAATTAAACAGCCGATACCTCGCCACTCTAATTAAAATATTATTATAAAACAGAAGCAACGAGATTGAGCCAATATATCGTGGGCCCAGCTGCGAGTCCGGTAACGATCATCTACCAAAGGCGCACCGTGACGCTATTAGTTCACAAACACCGTTTATCTTCAACGTGTTCAACTACCAATGTACCTAATTCATACGAGATATTCAAAGTGAACCGACACAGATTCGTTTGACAAGCAGGGAAAATTATTCGACGATTAAATATTATATTAATAATATACCAATGGAACAAATGGAAATGTAAAATTGCAAAACTAAATGGCCATTTTCAGTAAACGCGTTACCATTTGTACTTTCACTGTATCAACAATTCATCACGGTTGCCAAAAAATGACAACTACTTTCCATCGATGGTAACAATTTACCGAGCCCTTTTATTTTCCCTCTTGCCGAAACGTTTAATCCAATTCCAACATGGAAATGATCGCCAACGAGCCTCTCTGATCACTATATACAGTATAGCCTCGATAACCTGAGCCAATTCGATCGCATTATGTAACATTTTGCCCGTCTGCATGTTTATAACAGCAAAGCTGCAACGTAGGCAGAAAAGCGACTAGGAAATTCGCTCAACGATGAACGGGGTCGGGAGGGTAACTCGGCTAGGCAAAACACAGGAAAACATCACGTTTTTCCATTGGATTCGTTACAAAAGCATTCGTCGTTTGTATTTGCATTTAATGAAGAATACCGATAGCGAACGTGGAGATAATGAAACGCGTACAAAAATGGCCGTACCGACACGGGAAATCAATTTCCAAGGCGGGGGTGGAGACGATCGAAGAACTTCCTGCTACGAGTGGGGCACGCTTGTAAATGCACTCCATCGCGAGTGCTAGTCCTCGTGAATGGTAACTCTTGTCACGTACGGATGGTTCAAACTAGCGACGAATAAATCATTGCCCGTGAAAAAATATCTGGAGACCCCTGATGTCCTTCCTTCTCGGTGAGAAGGAACTTTTTGAATTGAAAGTCGCGACCGTATGCAATCCCTTGGTAAAAGGCGTTATTCGACGTTTTAGAAATCATTTTTCACCACGACCCAACGACCACCGGACGAAGATAAATCTTCGACGAAGGACACGGATAGGGAACGGTGAAAAATCGATCAACTTTCTAATTAGTTCTCCACTCGGTCGCAGTTAATCATCGGTTTGACCGTCTTTAATTGCGGACGCCTGTTCGCCGCGCGAAAACTTTATCACGAACGCTTACGAGTATCGTCAAAATCATGAGTATCGCAACACCTCCGGGGAAAAATTACCAGAGATTTATGATGGGTTAGCCGCGGTAAGCGAGAGATCCTGAAGCGGTGGGCTTTCAAATGTTTCTATACTGAGCGATTCAGAAATAGTATAATAAATTAATTTCCTCTGTGAAATTGTAATATTATTTCATATTAAGACGAATTTGCAGCTCAATATTTTTAGATAAAAATATTGCTTTTGTAAAATATGATGGGACTTTAAATGGGATATTAGTGGAACTTTACTTTGGGCCGCAGACGATTATTGATTTTTCTTTTTATATTTGAAAAATAATCGATAAATCTCCTCGTCAAATGCGAATAATTTCGTGTGCCCCGAAGTAAAGTTCAGCTTAAAATGATATTCCAGCTATTAAATTGCACTGGAATTGATAGTTTCAAGTGGCTGATCGAATATTCAATTTGCGTATCATGTTGTTCTGCCGATTAATAGCGGAACGATTTGTTTGGTACGAACCATTTTCGAACAACAACGTGGTTGCTTAGAGATGGGCTAATACACGCGCGTAATTGCTTTCGAATCAGCAATACATACATCGATTAACGTCAATGTAAGCGATATTTAAGCTAATTGCTGAAGCAACCGTGGCGAATTTCCGAGCATCATTCTTCCATTGTGCAGTTAGGATAAAGCGATTAAACAGTTGGCACGATCAATCCAGATTACTCGGCTGTCGGTGTTATCGATGCGCAACGACGTAAAGTGGGATAATATAGAGTCTAAAATCGCGGACGCCATTGTGTCTGACCTTACTACTCGGCTATGTAAATTACACGCCTCGACACGTGCCGCTAATGGCTGATTTCTGCCCTTATTCCTTTGTATCTTTCGCGAAATTAACAAAGTAAAGCTTTCAAAGAAAAGCAACGTTTCCGCGAAAGCTGTAAAGCTCCAACGAGAACAAGAAGCTTTTGTATTTTGTTATTACCCAAATAAATTATAAATTGCATTCTTAAATAAAGTAACTGCAAGAATGTAAGGTGTGCCGAAAAGACCGGTAAAATTTTAAACGAAATTAATCATAAATTGAATCGGAGAGAAAATGAATTTCATTTATCGGAAATCAACACCAAGTTATCAAAATATACGGAAAAGGCCAAATGTCAGTGAAACACAAACACAGAGGCGTCGAACCACAATAAAAACCGAAACAAAAAATAACTGTAACATGGAAACCAGCCTCCGCACGTTGATTTGACTATTTTTTTTCCTTTTTAACGTCAATATTTTATACGTTTTACAAGCAACGTAGAGGTAGAGGACAATTTAGAAACCACTACCGCGTACGATTGTAGAATCACATGGGTTCCACAGAGCCCGTGATATGTGTAGAGGGCAAAAATGTACCGCAATTTTTTTTATCCATATATAACGCATCTCGTTCACGAAAGGGACGAGAACAGTATGGTATAGTAGGTTGAAGCACCACTTTTCGTGAAAGATTTACGGAGGCGAACAAAAGAAAGTTTAAAAGGTAAGCGATACGAAAACGCATTATAATTTTTCAAAATAGAATTATATTTTTACAAAACTAATGAATTTTAAAAATCAAAAAGTATATAAATAATATTTTCACATTTAAAAAAATATTATAAGAATAGTACAATTTCTTTTGTTCGCCCTTGTAAAAGCCAATTCGAAGGGCATTCTAACGAAAAGCATCGACGAATAGATAGAAAAGTATATTCAGTACTCACCATTACGTTAAAGATGCGACGTCCCTCATGCTTCGGCGCCTTCTCCTACGATCATCCCTTCTTTCCAACCGGCTGACGTCTCCGCTGAGTGTACAACAGCCTGCACTTTGCACCAATTCATAATCGACGCACTTCCTCAAATTGCCCTCTCCCTCGTTGCATCAATGAAATTCCCTCAAGGTGCTACCTCCACGATGTCTGAACAGCTATGGATATTAAACACGATGCTTTATTATATTTGATCGTATAAATCAGCACACACGCGTACACTCGTTAGAACACGAAGCGTTAGAAAAACACACGAATAGAAAAAACGGACACACTTGTCACTTGTATGAGTCAACACAAAATGACACTATTCTTTTAGTTTCAGACTGTTAATTTGCTGTTACGGTTAAAGGTTGATTAGAATGGGTGATAGGAGCGCGAGAATTCGAAGCGCATTCGCGATGATTAGTGGTCCCGAGACAGCACAATCGTGACAGGAGCCACGCGAGTGATCGGGGTTGTTTGGAGCCAACAGGGTGCACACGACTCTCCAGCGGCAGTTGACGCGACACTAAAAGGAAATCGGAGTCCGCTTGCCGCCACCTGACGTCGGACGCCTGCGCCTTTCGTCGTCGCGCCACGAGACACGAGATTTCGTGCAATCGACGCACCGTGCCAGTCTATCGCCACGATTTCGTAAACCTACCTGTCGAACGTTTCCTTTCATTTCATTAACAATAATTGCTTAATTAAATAATTGTTTGGGTAATTAAATATTTTCAGAATACACCCCCTTACATTTCAGACTTGTATTAGAGCTATTAGGGCTTATTTATATTCATAATAATAATGATGTGATCATTCATAATTTTAATGATATTAATATTAATATGTTTGCTATCCCCTGAGGGATGCAAACTTATTAATAATAATAATAATGCTAATATAAATATTAATTATTGTAATATTATTGTTTCCAATATTTTGTAAATTGAGAGTTGTGGACTTATTGATATTAGAATTTTTAAGACTCATTAATATTGATAATATGATGCGAATTCATTTGGTACACCCAAGATCTAATCTATAATATTCCGAAACAAATGGGATTAATTTTTAAGCAGACGAGATCAGATAATTAGGAAACATCTTTACAGACAACGTCGATATTCACAAAGTAGAATAATCGTAGGATTACGGTTAAATACAAGCTCTCGGCAACGAGGGAGGTTAGTCAGATCGGGGGGTGAGCACAGATGCCGATAATGGAATCGTAATGCTATTGGCTGATCGATGATAATTTTATTTCGTTCAATGGAAGGCATCGCGGTCTACGAAGTATAATGAGCACACGAGAAACAACAAGCTTTCGTGATTAACAAGCCTGGCACGGTACCGTTCTCGATGCAATGGTAATTTTCCCGCGATCGCTTGGAATCGTATAACCCGCAGGATAATCCTACCATGGCGAGAACTAATTCCGCTTTGTGTACTAATTGTTGCGATACAATGGGATACATTATTCTACCTGGTAACTTTGACTTTTGTCAAGACACTGTTGCTTTAGGATCATAAATCCGAGTTGGGAATAATGTATTATTCCCTCTTGCTTATAAAGCAAAAAGAAACAATGAACTTTCCGTTATCAGACGAATAATTTTTAATTATTGAACACAGTAGACTCTCGTTATAAATCTTAAAGTACACCAATGCCACCCCTTCCATCATCGTAGTATATGAAAATGATATGTTTCTATTTCCCCTCCAAATGAGAGCTTAGAAACTTGACAAATTTTCCAATCTACAGCCCCGTCACCGGCAATATAACGAGAGTTTACTGTATTACAAAATTTATCATATATATGGGACACCTTTTGTCATTTTCCCTAAGGATGCCTAAGGGGGAGAGCGAAAAGCACCATTCTCCCTGAGGAAACCTGATTTGATCGCAAATGTATGTATTAATCGAGGGGATGCTATATGATTATAAATATGCATTAAAGTTTATGAGATATGTTAAAATATAATATTCCGTAGATATTAATCTGATATGAACCGTATTCAACTTTTTTGTGTTTAAACTGTTGAATATTTCAGGAACAGGTACACGCAGTGAGTGCAACATAACTCTCGCTACGTGTATAATAATTCATCGTATTTACGTCAGGTTCGTAATTTATTTGCAGTTGCTCATTTTAATATTCAGCCATCGTGGTTTTCCAGACATGATGCTTTATATTTTAACATATCGTCGAGGCACTGAATTATTTCCTTCACGTTATATTCATCCGTGTATTGTAGTTATATTGAACGAAATAATGTGTAATATTCATTGTATATGAACATTGAAGCGCGTTTGTATACCTTACTGTGTATCGTTTGGAAGCAATCCTAGGAATGCAGGAAAAACTAGTTTACAAGAAATCCTTCGCGATGTTTACATCCTCTACGTAAACACAGTTATACCAACAAGGCTATTGCAAGGTTCTTAATACCGTAGATTGTAGATAAAATAGCAAACATTGATATTGTGAAATATTACGTAAAGGAAATAATAAAAATATGAAAATCAATAGAAACTGTCTACGTAGCAAACTGAATGGTAATAAAAATGTAAGGACACACTTGTTCAAGATGCAACTGATTGAATCGATGCAAAGGAATAATTATTTAATAATAATTATTATTATCCTCTTAATTTTAGTACTTTAAAATATAGTCTGAATATCAAATAATATTTTCGTTGAAACTTTCATTATTAGTAGAGTAGATTTCTACAAAGTTTACATTTGAATGAACATTTTCTACAATGAACAGCTTGTTACAGCGGTACAATGTACAAGCACTTGTTCCGACATAACTAACGAACTGCTAATTAGGTTTAATCGAACAGCGGTGTAACCAGAATACATTTTTGTTGACCTTAAAATACGAGCAGCCACATTCTCTCGTTTCATCGTACGAACAATACACGATTGTTCGAATTGAAAAATTTCTACAAAAAAAACTCGATGACTTGTTCCCTTTATAGAAGGGCAATTTTTTCGTGCAACTTGATATTTTATATTTTGGAAACAATCTAACGGGTGAATTATTCAAGTGCAGTTAAAGATAATGAATTGATAAGAAATTCAACCCCATCGATTTTATTATCGATGGATAATTTAATATTTCAAATTAATTAATATATTTTTTGAAAGCATATAAATTTTTTCACCTTAAAATAATTCTTAAAGAAACAATGTGAAATTTAGATAATGAAAATAACATAACGTATACGAAATTAAAATAAAATTGAGGCTCTCTCCATGGTCCGCCGTTCGTGTGTTAACACAGTTTTTCGATTCGTTATCGAAAGCTTTGTTATTCAATTGATTCTCCGACAATTCCGTTATCGAAAGCACGAGGCAATTTAAAATTTCCCAATCGAATTCATTCAATTTCTATCTTGTTATCAAGACGAACGCGATCTCACATTGTCTGTTCACGGATGACGTATTCTCTTATTCACCAAATTGAATATCTCTTCCTTTTATTTCCACCGCTATTCTTTCACGTCTCTAACGATACTTTTCAAAATTTATTGCCCCTCGAAACCACAGACGCTCAAATTCTTTTCTGTTTTATCATACATACACCATTCTCTTTGACTGAGAATAAATTTTGCTTGACTATACATCAAGCTTATTACCGAGCCATAAAAGACTCATTTCCTCACAAAATGATGCAATGGTTCAGTACTTGCATAATATAAAAGTAGGTCAAAATGATTTTTTTCTTTTTATAAAACGTTCATTTTTAAAAGTATTCTATTAAATGAACTGTTTTGAAAGCTTTTCCAACCAAAAGTTATGAGATCTAATAAGATAAGATAAAAGATTAAAGTCACATCGAACTATTGTAATATAGAAACAGGAGATAATTTAAGATCACGGACGGAAAGTAAGTTTAAATATTAGACGGCTCTATCTTTCCGTCTTTTGTAGGGTTTCTGCAAAGTTTATTACGAGCCATAATCCTTTTTCCCTTTCACGACACAAAATTCACCTAACGGAGAACGATGGCGACGTTTAAGCCGGCAAAGCGCCGTATCACACAATGGTTTTAAGCGGAAAATTAGCTTTCTTAACGATTCTACGTTTAACAAAGCTGGCAGCGTACGCGTGTGGCCGCATAAAATCCCCTGAATGAAATAATTACGTTTAAACGTTCTGAATATCCGTTTATCGGTCGAACAGACTATGGGAATATTTATATTCTCCTGACGACAGTATAAATATTACTAAAAGAATACTGGTTATTTTTTTATTTATTTCTATTACAAAACACAACACTATCTCGCTTATCATTATCATTATGCATCTAAATAGGGGGTGCGAGTACCCGTAATTTCGGGATCCCGCCCGACATCAAAAAAGAGAAAAGAATCCTTAGATAATAGCTGGGTTTAAAACTACAAAATTCTATTCAAACGGAACGATCTATTTGTCGAAATTCAACTGCACCAGGCAGTTTGTTCAAATTGCATGAGCCTGTAAAGCCAGCTTAACAGAACCGTCCGATTAAATGGTCCACGATATTTCAGACGATATCCGTGCAAAAAGTCGTCTGATGCATTGATTGACCTTGCTCCTCGTAGCCTTTTCAACGAACTCTGGCACGATTCAGCGAGGACTTTGCGACACGTCCGCAAATCCAGAAATAAGGACAGCCTTCCTTGCTGGCTCCATTCCAAAGTCCCTTTATCACAGATCGTAATGCAGGTACAAACGACGACACTCCAAGTACCATTCACAACCCCAGTTCCTTGTTCTTGCACCTAACACTTGGTCGCTTTGTTAACCAGGTGGTCTTTGATGTCCTCCAACATATCCACGATACGATCTTTATAAGCCTTCAGAGTACGGCATTCGTTAATGACCAGTTCTGATCGTTGTTCACCGTACACCACGTGTTCCAAAAGTTCGGTATTATTAACGAAATACTTCTCGACCGCTTGTTTCGTCAGTAACATTACTTGCATGTTGGCGATCGAATACGCCAACGCGATATTCCTTATTTCCCCGCAACACTCGATGAACTGTTCGCGAGGTAAACACTCCTCCATGTCGAGACCTTCGGAAGCCAATTCGTTCTTCATGGTATCGCAATAAACGTCGATGAATCGATCAAAGTGCCGACGTCTGGTGGCTCGATCAGTGGTCAGATAAAGGCACAAAACGAAATCGAGCGCGGGCGGACTGTGCCGTAGAAATTGAAAGTCTATCAAGTAACAACCGATCGGCTTACCGTTCGAATCTCTTTTAAACATCATATTATTCGCCCATATGTCGCGATGGCATACGACGTTTCTGAATTTCTTAGACGATTGCAGCAATATCGGCAGGCTTCGAACGGTCTTCGTAATCCAATCCTTCATCAGGCTCCTCTCTTCGTCGTTGAATCTATCCGCGTAATCTACCATCGTGCATGCACCTTTGATACAGGAGCAGAGATATTTCCTCGCGGCCAGTTCCTCCTCGACGAAAGCTACCTCCTCCAGCCAGTTTCCATAAAGATCCGTGATCGTCTGTCCGGTGGTACGGCGAAGCTTCTCGTCGTGGATCAAGAACCTCGAGTGGAAGGTCGAGAGGGTCGTTATCACCGAAACGCAGTGATCAACGTCGAACAACAAGAATTTGTCCGGTGTTACGTATCCCTCTTGTTTCGCGTCCTCCAGCACGATTATGGCGTTGCTCTTGCCGAGATAATAATCAGGCGCCCATTTCGGTCCGTTACCCATCCCGATCTTCGACACGATATCGCTGTAGACAGCTATCTCCTTATTGAACGTGTTCGAGTTGACGAGGAAATCGTATTGAGGACTGTCGGTGGGCGGCGGTGTTTTCGCGAAGAATTTCAAATGCCTCGATTTATCGTCGATCTTCACGGTTACCGAAAGGGTGTAGTACTGGCCCAGAAAGCCATTCGTCTCCCCGAGGCTATCCAAACTCCAGTGCAAAACGCGGAAGTTAGTCGAGCGAAGTTTCCGCTCGACGATCTTATTGATGTCGGAATCGAGGAGCAGCACGCTCGGTTTATCATCGACAGAGCAGATCGACGACTTGGAGGAGGAGTCGTTGAAACGGCAAGCCGGATCGGCGATGATCGTCGTCATGTTGAAAACGAGCGCTGCATTAGTCTCGTTGAATCGTCGAATTTATATACCCGGCCTGATCTCGTGCGCGTGCTCCCATCCGATGACGGGTTGTAAATAAGCATTTAGATGCGTTTCAAAAGAACTCTTAGAAAAATGATTCTTCGACAAATGCGGTGGTACCGAACGAATGGCGGATCGAGGATGCGCGACGCGGGTAAACGATCCGATAGAGAATCGCTTCGACAAACATCCCGGTTGTAGTAATTTATACATCCCGTAAATCTGTCTGGTATACCTTCTAAATGCGACGAGAAAACGAACTCTATGTGATTTATGTCGTTTCGTGGGGGAAAAAAAAAAACGAGACTACGATAGCGACGGTAGAAAATTCGGTGACGAACACCCCGATAGATTGATTGGAGAAAAATGCCAACGGTGTGTAACAAAAACTTTCACCGTCGAAAATTATACAATCGTTTCGATCGAAGCTCATTTTTAAACGTCGATTCTTTCGTTTTTGTGGAAAACGTTTCGTTTCCTTGAAATTTTTCCTACAGATAACACGAGGTTATATAAATTAGTAACATTGATAACCTAATAATGAAAAGCCTGATATAATAACATTAAGCTCCCATTCAAGTTATTTAACACAGTCAATTGATAGTGCAGTACGAGGAGGCTTGTAAATCAATTTTGAAGATGACTTGGATAAATATTGAAAGAGTATAAAACGCTTTGAAGAAACGAGATGCTGAGAAAAATATAGTAAATACATCTGCATGAATCGTTAATATTTCCTTCTTTCAGATAAATGACGGTATTACGTTAACATCATGCACTTGTAGCTAAATTTAAAATTACACGTGTTTCAACGTGAATACTGAAACAGATAAGGATTAACTTAAAGCCAGATGTTTGCTTTAGAAAGTCTGACTAGGCAAAAAGTTACAGCGACTGATTTCTTTTGGGAACGTCTATCCTTAAGGGATTAATGTTGGATATGCTCGGAGTATACATACGTATGAGCATGAGAGTCGCAAAAAACAATACGTGAAACATTGCGATTTAATAAAAGTGAGGGTATTTGCGACACGAAAGTATTCAACCCAGACGATGTAAAAAAATATCAAGGTATCAAAAATTAATTTTCTATTTAATAATATTAAGAATTAGAATGTTTAAGCCGTGCTATAAAAATCTTGAAAGAAAGACAATTTTAAGGAGATATTCAACGATCCGTTCGAAAGCTCGAAACCGCAAAATAAAATGCATTTCTTTCAAACAAACGATCCAATTAAATAACACAGCAATATTTCAACGTCAATCATCGTTCTATTTTTATTTGAAATATCGAAGGAAATTTAATTTAGCACCAAATGAAAGCACTCGAAGTTATTAAAATGCAATATTCGCAAAACAATTTCCCTCCGTATCGTACTTCATTCGTTACTATAGGAAAGCATATTTGTGACTGGTTTCTTTTCAGAAGGATACACAAAAAATAGAACAAACTCAATAACATATTACGGATCGATACGAAAGATTGCGATAGAGTTGATTGAAATAGAACAAGAAATTTTAGTAAAATTTGATTTTTTTCGATTTGACGATATAATAAAACCTTGTGATACACAGTTACAGCTGTCGAAAGTTTTGTCATTTCGAGCCATCAAACCTAATGGATTTCTTCTTCTCTCCAATAAAATCCAATTTACCAATGATCGATCGTTTGAATTTCAAACAGAAGCGGAAGTTGCGTGTAACAGCGAGAGTTCAAGAACGAGGAACCATGAAGCGGAGTGAACACGACGAACGCGTAATCCCGGGTAGAAGGGGAAAACATTAAAGCCCATGGGGTGCTATAAAACAATTTCAAAGAAACTTCGTCGAGGCTCTGGTAGCCGTTGAAATTTATTTGCGTTCGCCCAAGAAGGCGTCTCTAACTTCTTCGAAAGGAGAAGGGTAGCTGCGTATTAATGAGGTCACACTCTAGATACCCCTTTCGGCTTCGTTACTTTACGCTAGCAGAGGTGTATAATTCCATTAACCGCTGTTCCGTAGCTATAATATTGCTCGATGTATGTACACGCTGTCGTAATTATTGCTGATCGAGTTTTCACCGCAACGTTCGACGGTAATTTCCACCGAGCAGAGATTTTAATCAGACTACTCGTTACTCGTGAAAAAAAAAAATAATAATCCAGCCTTGTTCAAATGAACGCGCCGATTAAATCGTAATTAGTCGACGCGATCGAGTACGTTTTATTTAGAATCAGAATTAAAGAGGTGATTTTTAAGCGTTGTCGACTATAAAATGGTTCGCTTCGTTTTATGGTCGTATACCATTTGGTGAACAAGATTCCTTTCTGATAGCGTAATAAAAATTGAATGATCTCGGTTAAATTATAATTTAACGAGATAATTAAAAACAAAAATCCGTGCACCTTTAAATCCAATAACGAATTAATTCGTCCTGTTCAATTATCACGGATTATATATACTCGGGAAAGTTTGAGTGGTCGTAAAATCTGAAAACAGCTTTCGAACACGAACGATAGATTAAGTCATAAAACATCCCGATACAATTGGAAAGTCATCAAAATTTTGCGCGCGAAACGTGAGGGGAAACAACTCATTTTGCGGAACATCCAAAGGACAATTACAGCGACGAAAGAGTCATAGGGGATAATCAACGTATGACTTCTTTCCGCGAGCGATAAACTTCATTACGTCTCGGTTTCATTCGACTGTCATTATAGGGACTTTTAATTGCCGGTTTTGTCACCTACCAGCAACAGGCTGAATCGCGACTGCCCAGTTACCGGAAGATCGTTTCTCCTTTTTCTTTCGCGTCGACAAGTGGGGCCGAAACAGAATTCTGATTAATCGACGTAGCTCTAATTAAACTTTTAATTAATGAGTCGGAAACAAGCAGACAATTTTCAGCGTGGGTGTTGGCAAGGACCGTGACCACGGACGATTAACCGTGGACAATAGGGAAGTCTTGTTTCAGCAAGACGAATACCGGTGGATGCATTTATGCGCATAAATTTACACAAATTCTTCGGTGATTAGCGGACAGCTTTTTGTCTTCCTGTCGCTTTAACCCTTTCTTGTGTAGGACAAGAAAAAAAATGAGAAAACTTCTACTATTTGGTCGGTCAATCTTTTTTTTTCAAATTCTAGTTTTGAAACACATTTTTTAATGATATCCTTCCTTCCCAAATATCCATTTTTATTCAAAAATAGAAAATACCTAATTGGAAATTTATTTTCTAGTTTTATTCAAAATTGAATCAAAGGCGCTTAATTGCAATTAAAATCCCAAGGGTGAGCAGGATGTAACGGACGATTCGAGGAACGTAAATAGCCAAGGCAAGACACAATATCGAAGGGTGACCAACAATGGAAACCGTGACCATCAATCGATGAATTCAACGGTAAGTGTATTGAACACCCTTTGACGGTGGTATGTGTGTTTCCTGGTTACGTAAAGTCCCCGAGATTCGTATCGATACTTTCTGCACGGGCTTTGAGTTTCGATGCCTTGCACCGAGACTCGAAGGCAACTTACTGCAGCGTGATGCGGAAATATATACCGTGCATGCAACCGTGTGTATAGGCGCCCCTTTTCATGGTGTTTCCACCCTCGTATTCGGAAGTAGCAATCCCAGTATCAACCACCGTTCACTGGCTGGATACAGCGACAGGGACAGAAATTCCAGGGAATACGGTCAACGGTGGGAGTATCTTTGAAGATGCGAGATGATATCGCTCGTACAGTTCAGGAAAATATTTCACACTGTTTTTCTGACGCTTTTGCAACGTCTGATAGCGGAAATAAGATCGTACGAGAGAGAAATAATAATTTTGATAAAATGGAAATAATTTTCTGGTTCAACAATTAGCAACGGCAAAATTTTCCAACAATTAATTAAATGAAATAAAGGTAGTATAACAGCAGATTGCTTTTAAATTGATTTTCAGAGGTATCGCTTAAAAATAAGGTCCCTCGGTGGACATATCGTAAACTGGATAGAAAATCGTCTTAACAGAAAGGTTACTGGGGGGTGAAAAGTTATTCCGTGCATGAGCTGGCTGGTATTTACTCGATCTATCCAGCAACATGGACGAGAACGATCGGCTGGCCCGGTTTACCCAAACACTGTGTCAACTGCGAGTAGTTTCACGTGAAAACGAAAAAAGTCGAGCCATCGACGGCCTCGTTTCCCGGATGAATTAACTTCTTTACGCAAACACCGCACCACAGACCGAGTAATTTTTTAATCAAACTGATGCATCGCGCAAATTAAACCGGGAATCGTATACCCCTCGTTGTTTGCATTCATTGTCGTCGATGATGTGTGAAATATGATAATTAATATTTGTACTTTGAGCTATTACGGCAAATGAATTATCCGGCTGCTGGTGTATGGAATTTATTTTCAAATAATAATTTTTTATTGAAAAAAATTTCGAACATTTGGGAATAATGGCAAATTTTATGTGAGATGTGTTTATGATCGTATGACAAGGGTTTAATTTTAAGGAACGTCCTGGGGGCCGGATTTTATCGAATGGACCCACTAACGGTAACTTTTCCTTCGCTCCCTTTTCCTGGATTATTTGATTCAGTAGAAGAAAGAAAGCTTGCGATCGATCGTTAGCAAGAAGCCAGGGGAAACTTGCCTAGCAGACCACGACTTTCCGTTCGTCCTCATCGATTAGACGGAATTTCCGGCTGTAGAACTCTCGCATTTTGTTCGATCGATTGAATTTCTTCTCGGGGAAATCGACTTGGACCCTGTTCGGTCGACCGTACCAGAGATTAGTAGTCATTGGGACCTTGTGACCTTTGTTCTCTTTCGAGATCTCCAGCCAGTAAAGGCTGGGCTTAGTACGATCGCATCTTGCTTTACTAGGATCGAAAACGCCACTGTGAAGACGTTCGTACGCCGATCTTGTACTGTCTTCTTTGTTATTGTTGAAGTACGAAATCGAGTGGCGAGGAGCGAATGGTTCCAACTGAAAATCAATTCTGTAACCGAATACCTTCGCTAAACGGGCTGATTGCAAAATATATGTTCATAAAAGTATGACGAGGTCTCGCAAATGTTTCATTTTCTTCATTTCCGGTAATGTTCTTTAAAATGGTAATTATTTTATCGCTAACGAAATAACAGTATGAAGTGGAAAAAGGAGGAAAATTTCATCTTGAATCATAGATTTCTACGTTAGAAGGGCGGAAAATTGTTTCCCCGTAGCTCGTACGAGATGATCTCGGTTAAACTGTGAACGAACCACTTCCGGAATGAAACGTTCAACGAGCACGTTGCTCGACATTAATTATTAAGGTACTCATATTCGTTTGGAGGGTCCTCTTACCATGGGATACTGTTTTGCCTCTTTCACCATGCACTCTTCCGTCGCCCGCATTTGAACCCATGGTGTAACGAACTCCGGTTGTTCATACATTCTCTTATCTTTCTTATCTTTATCATTACCACTGATTTACGACAGAAAGGGATTAACAGTGAATTTCCGGGAGTTAGGTCACGAGGAGCACACTTTCGAAGCAAACATTGAATAAACTGAAGGTGTCGAGTTCAAGGAAACAAAAGAATATTTAGAAATTTTTACAGAAATCGATTTATATAAAAAGAAAATATATGGTATTCTACTTAAGAAATAAAAATTTTCAAATTATAATATAATAAATTATTTGGATTATGCAAAACAAAGGCAACAGAAATTCGATGTAGTATTGTATCTAGATAATTATAAGGTATTCCAGCCAGTTTGAAAATGAGCTTTTGTTTATTAATGTTTGTTTAATAAGTGCCAGGATGCGCCATCTTACGAAATGCGCAACAAGTTCTCCTCAGGTAAATGATTAGTTCAACGATTTTATGCGATGCGGCGCTGCTTGTATAATTCCCACTAATTTTCAGGACGAACAGTGTGATCGAAATTAAATTAATTAAGAACGGCACTTAATTAATTAGATTCGAGAGGGACCGATAAGCCGGCTGGCAGTTTTCTCTTCCAGTTTGAGCGTTCGGTCAACTTTCGCTAACTCGATCACCGCTTTTCTCGATTATCTCGTTACCTTTTACTCTTTTCTCCCTTGTATATTTGTTCTGTTATACTTTCGAGTATTTGATAAACGTTAAAGAAAAGAAACGTTCAATTACAAGAAAAAGCGTTCGAATAATACTATTCTGTTCGTTTCAAAAATTCTTCTGTTTAACATAGAAATAAAAGAACTTGGAGAACCTCGAGGTAAGAAAGAAAAGGAAGTTTTCATAATTCTATTTCCACGTAAAGCGTAATAATTACATACATTGGCATAAATTACTTATGCACGTTAATGCAGGAACTTGAGCAGCGTGTTTCAAACGCATTCTGTGCAAAGTAGAATTGAATACATTAGGAGTACGTATGTTAATGTTTTTCCACGGAACGAATGCATTTCTTTTTTTCCTTCGTTGCATTGATGCGCAAGGCGCAGCAACAATGTCTTAACTGTGACCGAGTCCCACGGTTCATCGAGAACTCTGTTGTATGCATTCGACACTGTTACAGCAAAAGGGCAGAAGTACTCTCGTGAGGGAACTTTTTCATTCTCTCTCATTTCCGAGTAAAATGTCGCCTGCAGCAGCATCTGCGAGCAACAATGAGAGTGTCCAAGGAAAAGGATTCCACAGTTTACGGACCTACAATGCACGGAAAAATAAATCCAGAATGGTGTAATTAAAATAATTACACCATAAATTTAGGTAATTGCTGTTTATGAAAGGAATTGCCGGTAGATCAACATTCGAGCTGAGATGTCTTAGAAATTAGCATGGAAAGTTTCGATGAATCCCGTCGACGCATTTGCGTAATTTTCATTTATACATCGTGCGCCGCGTCGACGAGTTCGTTACGACATACATCGGGTCTCGGACGACTCTAATCAAACTGAACCGAACGCGGTACGCGGTTAATCGTCTAATCGAATTAGCCGAAACGGACGTCGAGGATTGGCAGAATTTCTGACCCAACCAGGCAAGAGTCACGTTTTAACGTTTACCGAGGGACCCGCTGATTTCTGCAACCGTTCCTGTTATTTCTATTCCATTTCCCTTCCGCTGACGCTGCAATTATATCCAATCTTCGTACAACAAAAATACCCGATCCTATTTTTTCAAACGGACACGCATAGCGTTCGAATAAAACGTGTAGGAGACGAAAACACGTTCTTTTCAACAGAGAATTGGATCCTGCTTTCATTCAATCCTGACCGAGTAAACAAGCATAAGTTGCCGATGGTGTGGAATGATCCGCGAATCGTTTCGATCGATGATCGAGTTAGACGAACGAGCGTAAAAGTGGCGAGCAGGAAAGGCATGGAAGGAAGTGGAACGCGGTCCTTTGCAATTCCATAGGAAAGGGGTAGCTAGCTAATCTCGATCGAGGAATCTCGCGAAGGAGTAACGAATCGGGAAGAGTAGCGTTTGGCGAACGTCGAAGGTATCCCGTAAGTCGGCGAGAAGATCGCGAGCAGGTCGGATATGGTATCGGTGATCCTGTAACTCTTCTCCCGCCTTTACTGAACGCTCGAAACGGTCCATGTTGAGAGAAAAAGGGAGATCGTGAGGGAAAGAGAGAAAGGGGGAGACACGATGGAGAAGGAAGACGATAAAGGTAAGAGAGATGAGAGGTGATAGACAGTGAAAGAGAGAGAAGGAAAAAGGATGATACATAGAACGAATAGCGAGGTAAGAGAGGAAAAGAGGGCATCACTGAAAGGTGAAAAGGAAGGGGATAACGGGAAGTGGTAGGTGGAGGTGGTGAAGGTTAAGGCAAGGGGGGTACAGGAGGTATGTCATACGACACACAGGGCAGAGTTTAATCAGGTTCGACTAGTTAGTTGGCAGGTGCGAGCATCGCGCGAGTAGGAAGGAGAACCGATCCGATCGAGCTCCAAGAAGCAGCGTGGCTCCTGTATGCTGCTACTCTAAGCAAGAAATGCAGCTTTACCTTGGTCCCCTGCTTTGCCCTCCGTTTCTTTCCGGCTCACTCCGGCTCTTTTATCTCCCGATTCGTACTTTCAAAGACCTCGGACGCATCGACATTCTACGCCGTCTTCTCACAGTCGTTAAATGCTTATAATTTTAACCGCTGTCTTTACGAGGAATTTCTCTCTTTCCCTTTCCCTGCTCTCGACCACCTTTACCTACGAGCCACATCACCGGCCACGTACCTACCGATCCACGAAACGATAGCACGAACGATTTACGATCGTCAAACGGATCGAGCTCGATGCTCGATTGATCGCTTAAAGGAAATACGATAATTCGAGGAATTCAATGACAGTGACAGGGTTCACTGTTTCAAAGTTGCTTCTTTCTTCATCAGATTAGAGAAGACTCTCTTAATACTGCTAATTAAATCAAGTAATTTTAATTCAATTTTGAATTTCATTCTCTAAATTTAACACTGCTCCTTCAAAAATTATTCTTCCAATATATTATACATATGTTTGAGTCACCATTGACCCCACCTCCGCTACTTAAGGATTTACGACACTTTTATATCATCGAATCAACAATTTAATCCTATCGATATGCATACGGGAATCTATTTTTGTGAATGGCAACGGAGTGTTACGACTGAATGTGTCCAAAGGAAGCAGAGAATGGTCAATTCAGTTATAACGTATAGAAGAGTTGAGACGCCACTTTTACAAGCGAAATGCAAATAAACCGCTCTTTTACTGTTATTCGGAACATGCCCCGTCCGAGGATTTTTGCCGCGGCTACGGCTGCGCCTATATTTACCAAGACCGCCAGTTTGTCCTTTTTTTTTTCCCACGTGTGTCGAGGCGTGACCTCTCGCAAAGCGATCCCATAGTCTTCTAGGTATCTCCTGGTAACGAGTGATCAACGACGACGACGACGCGCGACGCGGAGGAACTACGTCGGGTGTTCGTCAGGGCGTTCGCGTTAATGGCGACGTGTGTCTCTTGTATACCGTTAAAGGCCTTTCCGATGCCCGGTGTACCTAATTAATGGCACGTCCGTGACGCGGATACCAGTACGCCTACGGCGGGTTCAAGAGGATAGCGTTGTACGAGCACGTGCGATGTCATGCCTAACATCCGTCTTACTTGCTGTCACGCTATTCAACTACTTGGTAAATAAGCATAGCTAGCTATGGTCGCGCGAAGATTGCAACGGAGACAGGAGGCGCGTGGTTCTGTCGACGGGTCGGTGGATCAGCCGCGTGCGTACGCCAATCAACGTATAATTAGCGCGCCGCTATCGCGGATCTAAACTCGTTCCCGGTAATCGAGATATCGCGATGGGAGTCTCTACGTACGCGCGACTAGTCCACCATTTAGAAATTGAACGAGTCAATGCGGAAATCTCGGAAATCGCGACCAAACCCACGTGGACGTCCGCCACACACACACCCACGGTTTACTAGCTTACATAGGCGGCACACGCTGCTCGCATTGTCAAACTGACACCCTCTCCGACAGGATTAAGCATCGATATGTTTTATGATCGCATCGAGAGGGAACCGATTGTGCTTCGTGATATCGATACACACGGGATTCTATGCGAGCGAATAAGGTGTTGAAGTATGGGCGTAGATCCTCCCGGACGTATGTATTTTGTTTGCACACGTCGGCGAATAAATACCTGCTGGTGCAGGCAGGTGTTTTGCTCTTAGATAATCCCGTCGCGATGACACGTGTTCGTTGATAAATGGATTATCATATGAATTCTCTTGGTTGTTTACAGGAGGCTCGAAAGTTAGCCTACCCGAATGAAATAAAATATATCCACTTGATTTCCTTTACAACTTTAACGAATGATTACAAAATTCGAACTTTTTGTCCCACTTTTTGGAATCATTACGATCCGTCAACGTGTAAAATAAATATTTGATGCTGTTAGACGTCTCGTTATGGGATATAAAAACGCAGAGATTGATGACGCTCTAAAGGAGCCGATTTGAAGAGACTTTTACCAATTTTAATTTGAAATGTTCATAAAATGAAACTTGGCGTTTTATTCGAAACAAATTGGAAAATGATTTATGCTACTCTAAGCGTACAAGATTTACATTCAATTATCACGAAATGATTTCCCTACAGCGACTTTAAGCCGCGTAATAAATTTCTATACCCATCGCATCTATCTTATAATCGAATATACCAATGAAATAACGTGTACCTACGTATTAATAAATGGAAATAGTTTAAGGTTGCAATAAATCGATCCGGTCATTTTCTATGAAAATTGTATTCAATGTAAAAAACAGAAACAGTCGGATATTAAGCCGATTATCCCATCAAAGAAATAACATGAAAAGTACTGGAAATTACTAATATCAAAGAGGAATGTAATTACAGTAATAAAACGATTCGCGACACATTACAACGTAAATATGCTGCTGGCCTGGTAACTAGAAATTAGCCTGGTCTCGAAAATTGTCGAAATAAAAGGCTGCACGGGGTCCGTATAACCCATCTCATTAAAGAGTAGAAGAAACGTTAAATGTCGGTTGGAAGTTGCACGGTACGTTTGGAACAGCTACAACCTCTATAAAGTCAATCACGTTACGC